CTTGACTTGGAGTAAGATACAGAAGGATTTAAAGAAATGGAGCTTACTGAAATTATCTCTATTAGGAAGAATTGCGCTTATAAAAATGAATGTTTTACCTAAATTATTGTTTTTATTTCAAAATATACCCATAATCAAAAATCAAACAGAATTTATTAAATGGAAGAAAGAATTATTGAAATTTGTGTGGAATGGGAAAAGACCGAGAATTAAATATTTGAACTTAATTGATAAAAAAACGCGAGGGGGACTGGGATTCCCAGATCTGAAAACATATCATGAGGCTAGTGCCCTTTTGTGGATAAGAGACTGGATGACACTAGAAAATGGAAAAGGTCTGAACTTAGAAGGACATGATCTATGTGTAGGCTGGCATGCCTACACGTGGTACAACCGAGAAAAAAAGGAAAAAAGTTTTGGAAACCATTTTGTAAGAGCATCATTATTAAGAGTTTGGATGAAATACAAGAATCATTTTTATACTAAAACGCCTCTATGGGTTTCACCGATGGAGGCGCATCAAAGAAGATTACTAGGTTGGAGAGCGTGGCCAACATATAGAGACATATTAGTGAGGAATACTATGGAAATTAAATCCTTTCAGCAAATGAAAGAAATAAATGGTAACTTGACGTGGTTACACTACCTGCAAATGAAAGAATATATCAAGCAAGATAATAAGATAGGCTTTGCCTGGGAAGAGTCAATTTGGGACAAAATATTAAAGACGAATAAGAAAGTAATTTCAGTTATTTACAATACATTATTAACCTGGCTAACGGAGTGCGAGCAAGTGAAAACATGTATGATAAAATGGGCCGAAAATATAAGAAGACCTATTCAATTTAGGGAGTGGGAGCAGATGTGGAACAAAAAATTGAAATATGTTTTGACAGATTTAAAGGAAAACTGGATAAAAGTGTTCCACAGATGGTACACAACTCCTAAGAAATTGGCTCTAATAAACAAAAAATCTTCTGATAAATGTTGGAAAGGTTGTCACCAGACAGGTACCTTTTATCATATGTGGTGGACGTGTAAAGAAATAGAGAAGTATTGGACGAAAGTACATGAAGAGCTACAAAAAATTTTGAAGAGAGTTTTTAAGAAGAAACCAGAATATTATCTATTGGGATTTACAGATTTGGAATTACAATTAGATGAGAACGAAGATAGACTATTTACCTATGCTACAACAGCGGCGAGAATATTATTGGCGAAGTTTTGGAAACAGGAAGATATCCCTACCACTGAAGAGTGGTTAGGGAAATTAAGAGAAATAAGAGAAATGGACGAATTAACTTTTTTCTTGAAAAAGAATACCGGGAACCCGATAAAGAGGACAGATTGGACTCTATATGAAAACTACGAAAAGGAAATAAATAAATAAGAGGAACATTATGAAGTGGATATAATGGAAAAATCATTGAGGACACAACACCTGATGGAGAGATGGAAGTCAATTTTTATTTTATTTTTTTCTATTTTTTCTTTCGTTTTTTTTTGTGTGTCTTTTATATTTTTGTATTTTCTGGTGGACTTGGGGGTAGGGGGATGTACTTCTTACTTTTTTCCTACTTTTCTATCATCTTTTTTAATATTCTCCCTCTTTCGATGTTATTTTTAAAATCTTAATAAAAAATATTATAAAAAAAAAAAGAACTGGCCCTGGAACAACGGACGGGTTCAAGATTGGGAAAGGCGTATGGCGGGGTTGCATACTCTGTGGCCCGCAGAGGCTCTGAGCTCAAACCTTTGAGAGAGAAGGTCACATGCAGCACAACAGCAGAGCAGCCATTAGAAACTGCCATTCTCTCCTCCAAGTATTTTACCTTTACATGTTTCCTTTCTGTATGCACCAAAGTTACCAAACTAACCTGTGACAAAGGAGGCATCACCCATTGATACAGCCTGGATGATGGAAGTGATAGTCTCAGTTGGACACATGGCTGGAGGAGGTTGCAGTAGTGGGCTGCAGAGATGAAATATTAAGGGGTTTATTTATTTATTGTGTTAGAAGCAAATTGAGGGTGCAGTTATAATTTTTTTAATATAAAAAACCACAAAGATAAAAACTCAGCATTATACTAGATTTCCTTTGACCAGAAGCTGGCCACTTGGAGTGCCTCTGGTGCTGGTGTGAGAATGTCCTCCATTGTGCATGTGGCAGGGCTCAGGCTGCATTGTAGTACGTGGTCTGTGGTTTGCTCTCTTCTACATTCACATGTTGTGGACTCTACTTCATAGCCCCATTTCTTAAGGGTGGCTCTGCATCTCGTGGTGCCAGAGTGCAGTCTGTTTAGTGCTTTCCAGGTTGCCCAGCTTTCTATGTGCCCAGGAGGTAGTTTCTCCTTTGGTAGTTTCTCTCAGCCATTAATTGAGGTTTTAGGTTTTAGCCTGCTACTTTTGGACTCTTGCTTGCTGAAGTATTCCTGTGAGTATCTCTGTAGATCTTAGGAAGTTGTTTTTTGATTTAAGGCATTGCCTTGCTGGCTGATATCCAAATAGAGGATGGGCCAGAGATATCATTGCCTTGGTCCTTTCATTATTGGCTGCTACTTCTCTGTAGATGTCTGGTGGTGCAATACTGGCTAAACAGTATAATTTCTCCAGTGGTGTAGGGCATAGACATCCTGTGATAATGCAGCATGTCTCATTAAGAACCACCCACTATTTTAGTGTGGTGAAATGTGTTCCACATTAGGCATGCGTATTCAGCAGCAGAGAAGCAAAGTGCAAGGGCAGATGTCTTCACTGTATCTGGTTGTGACCCCCAGGTTGTACCAGTCAGCTTTCGTACGATATTATTTCTTGCACCACTTTTGGCTTGATATTCAAGCAGTGCTTCTTGTAAATCAGAGCACAGCCCAGAGTTTTAAGTACCCATTTTAAGGGGTACCTGACCTTTATTCAGGGAGGTGGGAATCTTGAGCTCCAAGTTATGTTAAAAATTGACATTAGATTTGACCGTTTCAGAGGAAGAAGAAGGTAGTAAAGGAAATACGCCCCTGTTCTTTCCTCTGCTGCTCTTCTTTTCTCTTTGCCTCTGTCATCACCTTCTCATTTGATGGCGAAACCACCAACTCCGCACCATTCACTTGTGAGGGAGAAAATTGGCTATGCCACTCTTCTTTTTCTCTTTTCTTCTGGGTTGCCTCTGTTATCTTCTCCTCCTCTAGTGGGAAAAGCCTTTAATTCCCCGCTGTTCATTTCCCTCACTTCTGAAGGAAAAACATATCTTCATCATGAAGTTGTTGGGTCCTCATAGGGAAATTTAGTTTTTCCATCACTCCTCCTTAGGAGGAGACAGTAGAGGCAACCCAAAGAAAAAGCAAGTCAGTGGAGGTAAGAGCTAAGGCACCTCTTTTTCCTCTCAGAAAAGGTCTGCAATTTGCCATTTTGCTGAGGGAAGGTGGGCTAATTTTGGGCTAATCCACTTTGCTGTTTGCTCTGAGGGAAATAAACCTGGAGTGAGATGCTAAAAACTTATTTGCAGCCCAAAGAGGTTTACCCTATTTAATGTTGGCCCGTTACTTCCAATTGTGCTGACCTGGTGCACCATACCTCTGCCCCATCATAAAGATGGGACCGATAATGCTGAAGTTCTTAGGCACCATCTAGTGGTTACAACTTTGAAGTACAAACCAGAAATAGCCTTTTTGTAAGGGAGGGAAATAACCCCTTGTAATGCCCTCTTACAGTCAATGCAAGACAGGCCCCTATCTTCCATTTACTGCCAATCATGTTACATGTTGAAAAGAAATAAAGTTTTGTTATGTGTCTGCTGGTGTTTTTCCTCCCAGGCCTTTGTGTGTGCTTCAGTTGGAAAGGAAGTATATAACCTGTTTAATGAGGAAGGAAAGTGGACCCTGTAAAACTACAGCTCC